TGGAGATAGGTTTCTGGCACTTGACAAGGATGAGAGCGGTCCTCCAGTGGAAGTTGATGTTGGGGAGGTGAATTATGTGGTTGAAGGTGCAAGCACCGAGATCACTGGCAATGTTGTAACCAGGCATTTGGCCTACAAGCAATCAAGGCTGGGATTGATCCAAGAGCGCTCCAGAGACGTGTTCCTGATGTTTGAGATGCCGCCAGATTTTGTGGACGAAGTGGTGCCAGAATTGATCAAAGATTTGCGGCGGCTTCCTCACTTGTACAAAGAAGGCAAAGATGCCAGCGTCTACATCCGAGTCCTGAATGCATCGCGGTACAGCGTCCTGATTGCTGGGGAAGAATCAGCCGTTCATGCTTGAATGCATTGATTGAGTCAACAAGTTGTGATGTGAAAAAGAAGAGAAACGACCAGTTCGTTTGTTGCAAGCCATATAAACTTTTTCGGAGTGACTCAGTCTCATGCGTCGCCCGTAAAGATGGGTGACAGTTGGTTTGGTTGCATTCGCCTGAAGCAGGTGATGCCGCCTTTGACATTAAAACACCTAGGACCCAAAGCACGCGCGCGTAAGAAGACACAAAATATTGCTTAATGTGCAGAGCTCCCCGTTGTTGACTTTCTTTCTTCGGATTTGTTGCGTTGATGATTTTCATTGATTCTCTGAAGATTTGATTGATGGTTGCACTCGCTGCATTGGTGCCTAGGGCCTAGTTCATCGAAGAGTATGCTTGAGAGAACCCCTAGCGGCTTTTTGATTCCAAACTTGTTTTTGACTTGCTCAAGCTTCTCGGCGGCTGGCATTGCCAGGGTGAGCGTGCAGCATATTGCAGCGTCATGGGTTTGGCTCACGACACTGACGAGCTTAGAAGAGTCCTCCGCAGCTGTCGGAAAGACGTCGCTGAAAGACAAAACGAGCAGAGCTATGCTGCCATCGGCGAGGCATCTGACAATCGTTGGCAGTCAGCCAGAATGAGCGCATGTTAAAAATCCCACTGCGCAAGCGGAGAAGGAAAGGTTTTGAAGTGTTGACCGTAAAGAGAGTTGAGTCAGATAACTAACTTGTACCCAAAAGAACACAAGCTCAGAAGATGACACGTTGGGGAGAAAAGGTGCGTATTTTGAGCCTAGAGCTGAGTCATGAGTACAGGGAGACAGATTGGGCGCAGGTCCTTTTGCTTTGGATCTGCAACTTCAGCGCTACAGGCTGCGCAAGCAATGACCAAGGCAGCAAACTAGTTGATTCAGTTGAACCACACAGCTCAAAAGGCTTTCGGACAGACTCAGATGTAAGTTTGCATTATTTGGCGTGCGCTATTTTCTCATGAGTCCAGGCTGTTTGCTGCTTTTTTGGTTCTTTATCGAGCTGGTGGTTGCTATTTGGAAGCGATGTGTGGAACAGGAGCTGCTCGTGGTAGGCATGCATATCACGCTGGCATTGCAGTGTTTGTCGTGCTATTTCTGCAGACTTCCAGGCAGCTATGCGGTTAAACGTTTGAAGACCATTGAAGACCCTTGTGTGGCCTGCTTGGCTCAAACGTGTTTGAGATGGGTATGGTGGCTATGATGACAGGATGCATTGCGCATTCCCTGTGAGGTGTGTCATGGATCTTGCTCTTCGTGTGCACAGCCATTGCGCAACGCGCGTTGGAAAACTTGGTTCATGAACACTCGTCCCGTGCTCAGCTTGGGAATGGGTGCTCGAATATTGGGTTGTTTTGGGCCCAACATTATTTGGAGCGCCTTGAGGCATGGCAATCTTCTCAGGCCGTCGAATCATTGGCTCGCCAGAGTTACAGGCTTGACAAAGTGTCCCTGAGCTGTTCCGTTATTGACTTGTGCGGCTTGCGGCTTGAGAATATAGTATGATTGATTCTGGTTGAGCGCAGGCTTCCTGGTTTACAAGGACTTGGAAGAGTACAGGTCCAGCCACCGCATCCATCACCAGAAGTTTGGCCTTGACGAGGAGTATATAATTGCGTGTGCTGCTTTTTTGTTGTTTCTCTGGAGCCTGCTTTTCATTCCGGCCACAAAAAGCGACGTATTGCAATTGCACGCAAGTGCAACAGTTCATTTTGCGCGCGCTCAATCACAATGCTTTGGAGTTGACTTGTGTATCTTGCCTGCGGGGAGGATCCAGACCGGATCGTATATGGAAGAGCTGCGACCAGACCACTTTTGGGAAAGGTCAGCGTTGTTTGCGTTGCGTGCTTGCATTTAAGTTTGTTTTGTTGAAACGTATATGACTGTCAATGAGTGTCCCTTTTTGCATTTACCTTTTGTGGAGATGTGGTGGTTTGCGTGAATTGAAAGCAGAATGCTTGCAGTGACCGCAGTATTGAGTCTCGTGATGAGCCAAGGTCTGGTATCACGAGAACCTGCAGAAGAAAGGGCTTTGGATCCAAGTCGTGTCTTTCCTGAACCGTTTTGATGACTGGGGTACCCTCGTAGGTATTCATCGTGTCTTTCGTATCTTGCTTGCAATGTGTTGGCCCTCCCCCAGCAAGTCTTTTGGCCTCCCCGTGTGTTCAGCGAGCAAAATTTTCGCGAAAGCTGTCGTTCTGAATTTCCCGTTCAATGCGTGTTTAGTGAAAACAACATCCTGCTCGACTCTCGCGACGGCGCCTTTCAGAGTGTGTGTATAGTTTCGGCTCTAGGCCACTTGCCTGACTGTCTTCATGCTGAGACGTCTGACTTGGTCTGGCGGAGAGGCTGGTCCTATAGAACTTGAAGCAGTTGAGGTGGTTCGATTTCTGCTTGTTGGCACAGTGTCTTAAGGTACTGCATTGGATTGCAGCAGCGTTGGCCTGGTGGACTTCTAGCTATATTCTTGTGCTTCCATTCTTCCGTGCGTGTGCAGAACACTCTGTGTCTCAGATGCAGATCCACAACTGATCTCGTTGCAGTTTTGAATAGGGGCAAAAAACTGTCAAGTTGCTATTTTGCTGCATTGGTTTGCACTGGGCCGGATATGTGAACTCCTGGTTTACCAAACTATCTTTAGCTACCGCTGGCTCCTAAACCTCCCCCTCACGTCGTTGGAGCTTGGACCATGGTCGGGGTGTCGCAGCTTGCATGAAGGAACACAGTGGCTTGATCAAAGACCCTCAAAGTGGTGAACACCTTGATGATTATCTTCGCAAACATTGGACAATGACGAGAAGCAACATCGGGGTTTTCCATCATTGGGTTTTGCACCCAATGAACGATGGATATCACACGCTTCACCATTTGGATCCGCAGATCCCTTTTTACATGCTCAAGCCTAAGTTGATCTGCGCCTTGCTCCAAGATGCTTAAAAGATTTTGAGTCATGTCTCAACAAGAGGGTCTAAGCGCTGAGGTTGAGGACCTTGCATGAAAAGCTGATGCGGAGCAACACCTTCGACTACGCTGAAACCTGCACCGCAAAAGGGTTGATAAACAAATGCCCGCAGGTTTTTTACTGAAGGCATTGAACTCAGCACGAGCAGCTTGAAACAAGTTGCTTGCCCCTGGGGTGTCGGAATTGGCCGTGCACTTTTGAGCCAATATTGACCCTCAGTTGCAAAAACACAGTCACAAAGTAGGAATATAGATGAATATAGAATATTTGACTTGTCGCGCTTATTTGGTGGCTCTCTGGTGTTAAGCGTTGTCTGGGCGTTTCTGACGCAGTTTGAAGCAAGTTGCTCAGAAGGCCCCTGCCTTTGAACATGTTTCTTTTGGACGCAGTAGCTGCAGCAGGCTCCCCAGTGTCAGTGAGCGATGGTTTTTCGTGGACTTAACCGGTAGATAGTTCTTGCAGCTAGCTCTAACGCCAAGGTTCTGGGGTCAAAGCGCTGCAGTGCTTCGTAGTTCAGAGCATTTGCTAGGAGGTGAGTCCACACCAGCACAGAAGTGGACAAGTGCCTGTGAAGCCAGCGCCCATTTCACGGAATTGTCATCATTTTCGTATGACAGGAATGTAGAAAGATGGTGTGTTGGCTGCGCATATGTGTTGCTGGACTGTCGGCAGCTTCAAACGTTTTCTTCGCGACCTGTATGGAAGAGACCTTGGGAATCTTTGTTGTTTTTGTTGGAAGTTTTTTAGGTTTATCTCAGGCCCAGGCTCACACGTTGCCAAAAGCTTGGCGTTGCTGTTTGTTTGGTTGCATCTGCCTGAAGCGGGTGATGCCACCTTGTGTGACTTGAGTGGATTCAAAGTTGGTAGCTTTGATCTTTGGAACTTGATCGCGACAGAGAGCTGCTTCCAAGACAGCGTGTGATTGCGCAGAGCCCAACAAAAGATAGAAAAAGTGTCGCTGTGAGAATAGCGGATTTGTGCTCAAATGGATCCTGAAACATGTCGTCTTGCGATTGGTCATTTTCCAGTGACGTTTAGTTTAGACACTTGTGACCGTGCTTGAAGACACGCACCTTCACCTCTCTCAGCCCATCTCAGCCCTTAGAAGTATTTTAGTAGCCTTAGCGCCGTATTGTGTGAGCAGAGCCATGCAGCATTTGAAGCTCTACTACTTGAACTGTGGCGCTGGGTTGCGCATCTTGGAGGGGCATTTGCAAAAACACACGTTCCTGCGCGGTACGGAAGAGCCGAGCGTTGACGATTTCACTGCTTTGGAGAAGGTGGAGGCAGGAGGCCATGACCTTTCCAAATATCCATTCCCGGAAGTGAGGAAGTGGATTGAAAGACTCAAACAAGCAGGTAATGTTCGCAGCTCTTGTGACAATGGACCGGTGCAAGTGGAATTCTTGGAGCACAGCCCCGTGAATATGGCCTACATCGAGAAGCAGCAGGCTTTTGAAGAGGAGGACGGTATTTTTCTTCTTTGATTTTCGACCGCTCCGTTTAGATGTCGTCTAGAATCTGTTGAAAGGTTCGAGTCTTGCGCCAGTAGTAACGTTACGCTTCCTTTGCAGCCCTTGCCCTTAATGAATCGAAGCAGGAGTTCAAGTACGAAGTGAAGAAACCCAGCCTACAAGTCTTTGAGGAAGACTCCGTGCCTGGTGCTGTGCAAACTCGCTGCAAGACCTTCTCCATTGAAAAAGGTGTCTTTGAAAAACTTCCAGGGCTGCACATAGTCACTGCTTTGGTGACCAATGCACGCAACATCGATGAAGAAGGTGTCCTGCGTGGGCACTTTGAGTCTGTTTGCAAGATGATCGGAGACAGAAAACTGGAGAAGCGGGGCCGGCTTGAAGTCTGGAAGCGCTACACCAGCGATTTGCAAGACCGTGGACCTAGCAGCCTTTTCTTGACAAAGGGTGCGCGTCGGGATCCTCCTGTCCAATCAGTCCAAGCTATGTGGTCACGACTCGAACAAA